TTCCGTCCCTGGTTGGGGAACTGAGATTGCACATGCCGCGCAGCGCAGCCCCCCAAAATTTTTTAATTTAAAAATTAAAATAAAAAGAAGTGCTCAATGATGACAGAAAATGACCTTCCTCCTTCCTCCCTAACTCGCTCTACCTCCGTTGCTGCCTGTGTCGGTAGAAGCACCGCCTTGCACACAGTTGCTTAAGCTCAAAGCGAAGTTATCCAGACGCGGCTCCCAGCCTTACCTTCCACGGCCAACCTACCAGTGAGCTTGTGGCTCCTGCCTTTAAAGACTTCTCTCCATCTTCTGCTGGCCCCCAAGCCTAGGTCTCATCAACTCCCGCCTGGACTCCTGCGACCCTTTCAGCCTGGCCTTCCCAATTCCACTCGTGCCAGAGAGTCCACCTTCCAGTCAGAATGATCCTGGCTTCAACCAGGCCTCTCCCCTTGGAAGTTTCCACGACTGTTGGGCAAACGTACAAACTCCCAACAATGCCCCCTAGTCCATCCGGGCCCTCCTGCTGCCCCCACCTCCCTCTGGCCTCTCTCTTCTCTATGCTGTCACTGTTGTGACCTGTTCTCATCCATTAAAACCCCGTGTTCTCCCATCTGGGCCTGGAACATTCCCCCACCCTGGCCTATCTAACTAATCCTTCAGATTTTGACTTAACGGGCACTTCCTACAGGAAGGCTCCTTGCCTGACTCCAGCAATAAATCCCTTTGCTATACGACTCGTACAACATTCGAGTCACCCTTTGATAAAACTCATCACGACGTGTCTGTTTCCTCTGATAGACTATATGGGCCAGAGGATAGGAACCTGAGCCCACCTTCCCCACCACTATCCTCCCACCACTTAACAAAGAAGCCACCACCCACCACTGCCCCCAACCTGGCAAATTCCTACCCATCCTTCAAATCTCACTCACCTACATCGCTTTCAGGGGGACAGCCTTCCCTGAGCACCCAGTCTTGGGGGGGTCATCCGTTTACATAGCCCCACACTTCCCTGGGCATCTCTTACAGCACTTATCACAGCTGTAAAAGTGACTGATTTTAATATGTCTCCCCCCTTTGATTTTCTGTCTTGTTTCTCTTTGCCCCAGCATTTAAAAAAATGCTTGTCACAAGACTCCCCCCAGGTCAGCCCACAAGAATTCTTATGAAAATCCCTAAAACTGCATGCAAAATTCTGTGCATGAACAATTTTCTGAAGAACCAGTCTGTGGCTTTTGTTGGCGTTTCAAAGGGGCCCAAGATGTGAAAGGTTAAGAACCTTCTCCCAGGAGCTGAAGGGGCTGTCTTTCCTTCAAAACAGCCCTGCCAACCGACTTCTATGCAAAACCATTGCCCTAGAATATAAGTTCCAAGTGGGCAACAATCTTTATTTTGTTCACTGGTGTACCCCAAATGCCTGGAACGGTGCCTGGTCCCTTCCAGGTGTGGGTGTAGAATGACCAAACATAGTCTTTGATGACTGTAACAGTTGTGAGAACTGTGTAGTGGTTAACTATTGCTGCATAACAAATTACCCCAAAATGTAATGGCTTAAAACAACATTTATCACCTCAGTTTCTCTAGGCTGGGAGTCAGCATGCAGCTTAGTTGGGTCCTCTGCTTCAGGGTCTCTCACAGGGCTCTAAAGTGCCAGCCAGGGCTGTAGTCATCTGAAAGTCTGACTGGGGAAGGATCTGCTTCTGAGCTCACTCATGTGGTTGCCAGCAGGATTCAGTTCCTCACTGGCTGTGGGCTGGAGGCTGCCCTGAGTTCCCCACCACATGGGCCTCTTCAAAGGGCAGCTCACAACATGGAAGCTTGCTTCAACAGATCTTGCAAGGAGGAGGAGAGGAGGAGAAAGGGAGGAAGAGAGAGAGAGAGAGACAATAACAAGATGGCCGTTACAATCTTTCGTGTCTTAACCTTGGAAGCAGCTTTCATCACCCTTGCTCTGTTCTGTTTGTTAGAAGCAAGTCTCTATTTAGGTCTAGTGCACACTCAAGGGAAGGAGATTATACTAGGAATGAATAGGAATGAACAGCAGTGGCAGGATCATTACATGTTTTCTCATATAGTGTCTGGCTCATCTGAAAACCCAAAGAGCAGAAGGTGCAGACCAAATGCCTACAGGTCAAGCAGATGGTGACGAGGGGAGAAATGAGAGGTGGGAGGTTTGGCGGACAGCTGAGCCTCTACCCATCCTCCAGCAGCAGACCACTGCCAAGCAGGAATGTAGGCTGACTTGTCAGATCTTCTAACTTTTCAAAAGAAGCCAAAGTCCTGATTTTTATGAGACACTTTCCGGTTTTTAAAATTGATAATCGCCGCAGAGCAACTAAGCCCGTGTGCCACAACTACTGAGCCTGTGCTCTAGAGCCTGTGCTCCACAACAAAAGAAGCCACTGCAATGAGAAGCCCGCGCACTGCAACGAAGAGTAGCCCCCGCTCACCGCAACTAGAGAAAGCCCACGCCCAGCAACGAAGACCCAACGCAGCCAAAAATAAATAAGTAAATACATAAATTTATGAAAATAAATAAAACTGATAATCTAGCAAACACACATGTGAGCAGTTTTTGACTCTTCTCGATGGCAGAAAAGGCCTAACCTATTCTACTACTCTATATGTTTGTTCCATCTCTCCTATGCCCACCCTCCCAACCGCCACACTTGTTCACTGAAGGCAGGGACCTAGTTAATTCACTTGCACACTTTCTACAGCTCTCTGCAGGCAGCAAGCCAACAGTAACTACTGCTGAAGAGAATATGTCATGGCTGACATCAGGGAGCGTGCCCCACCCACACCCGCGCTCCAGTCCTAGAGGGGCGGGTGAAAGTGGCCGCTCATGTCTGAATTAGCTGCAATCCTGGCTCTAGCACTTGCTTGATGTATGACCTTTAGCAAGTTACTAACTTTTCAGAGGCTCAATTTCTTCACCTATAACAATAATGGTACCTGCCTCAGAGTTATGAGTTTTAACTGAAATAATATACTTATTAGCACAATGTAGCAACTCGATAGCTATTCTTACTGGCATCATCCCCCTGTTTCCTCACCAGCTCCCTGGCATGTCTCCCCTGAATCCATTAAGCCATCATTACCACTATCCACCTGGCTGACAGCTAGAGGGAGCTTTAAAATGCAGATCTGTCATTTTCACTGCCAGGGTTTACATCCTTCAACAGTTTGCCGATGCCCTTTGGAGAAAATCCAAACTCTTTTAACTCAGCTCATCAGGCGCTTTGGAGCTGCGCCTGCGCAGCCCTCGGGCAGGTCTCATCTCTCACCACTACCTCCCTTCCCATTTGGCACTCCAGGCAGGCCAGAGCTTTGTTTCTTCACGGCTCCACACTTTCTGCCACTTCAAAGCTTTTGCAAGTGCTCTCTGTCGAGCTGGAACCTCTTCTCTCCATTCTCTACCACCCCTTCTAGATGTTCCAGCTATGTGCTCTGAAAATTTCTGACGTTCCTTGCTAAACCTGAGGGCAGGTACAATATCTGTTTTCCTCACCACTCTGCTCTTCCTAGTACAACGGCCGCAAGGAATACACCAATAATACACATTTGTAGAACTGGCCACAGCAGTGCTGATTCCCGTGGGCAGACAGCGCCACCTGTTGACGCAAGTTGGCACTTCAGTACCTAGAAAGGAGCCTTAGCTCTCTGCCCACGCTTAAGGTAGATGGACAAGTTTTGAAGTTTTCAGGGGGTCTATCTCGAGACTCCTTACATCAAAATTAGCAATTTAAAAAAAAAAGAAAAAAAAGAGCTAACATTATTGAGTATTTAACGTGGGAGAATTAGGCACTTTCCTAAGTGCTTTAGTTATTAACACATTTAATCTTCACAACCACTCAATGAAGTAGGTACTTTTATCGCTTTATAGATAGGGTAACTGAGGCACAGAGTAGTCAAATGCCTCACCCAAGATCACACAGCCAGAAAATTTCATCCCAGGTGGTCTGACTTGAACCTGGATTTTTTTTCTTTTTTTTGGCCACACTGCGCAGCTTGTAGGATCCTAGCTCCTGACCAGGAAATGAACCCAGGCCCTAGGCAGTGAAAGCACAAAGTCCCAACCACTGGACCGCCAGGGAATTCCCTGAACCTGTACTTTTAAGCCTGAAACTCACTGCCTCTACCGTCTCCTTTCCTGTGAGCCCAATGACCTGGTGAGGTTACACCCCAGACACCTCCCTCTGCTGCGAAGGCACTGCTACCAGGGGCACTGGCGTCAACCAAAATTCCTTCTGCAGTGAACCCTACGTTTTGAGAACTGCACAGTTCTGCAAGAGCACCCTCAGGACAGGAAGTAGATGCGGGCTCTCCTCCACGAGCAGTCAACCCTGACCTCCGTTATTGCTCCTCGCCTGTGACCTCCAGCAAACCACCACCTCTCTGAGCTCCCTTTCCCTAACAGGGCCTTTGGCCTGCTGAGTGGACGAGACTGGATACCCCATGAAGAGTGAGGAGCACAGTCCCTGACTGAGATTCAGGTGAACACTGAATGGCAGTGGTTATCACTCGGTCCCCTCCCTGGATCACACACATCACACATGAAGCTGGGTCCCTTCACATGTTTCGATACTGCTGTTTAGAACCAAGAGGTTGTGGCTACTTCATGCTTAGGTTCCATCTACTTTCCACTCTCTCCTCTAAATCATTCCTTTATATCATTGAGGAAAATGCCTGCCTGCACTTGATTTTAAGTTGTTAGACATAAATAATATATACTAGGCACTTTCTATGGCCTAGTCATTATTCTAAATAGTTTGTTCATATTAACTCATTTAATCTTCACAACAGCCCTGATTCTCCCCACTTTACAGATGAGGAAGCTAGGCACAGTGAAATGACACGTTCAGGGTCACACAGCAAGTGGCTGACGTGGAATGTAAACTTAAGCCGTGGTACCAGTCTATGCTTTTAAACACTACGTTAGACTCCCTCTGCTGGTAGAGGCTGTGTCTGCTGCCTTTACTCCCAAGTGCCAGGAACACTTCTTTGCACACTGTAGGTGTCAACAAACTTGTTTTAATATATAATATATATAAACACACAGTCACATGCCAGTGTGACAAATACCCCTTCTCCGACCGGGAAAGAGCTCCATCATACCCTGGGCTCCTGGAGACTTTCCAGAAAGAGCCTAGGCCTGGCAGTCTTCACAGATGACACCCAATGGGGGCACTTTTATTAGACAAGTGGGAAAGGACAGGGTGCACCTTACGGTGTACTGCCTGGGGCCTCATGCAGGCCCAGAACTCTGCTGCACCCTCTTCATCAGCTCTTCGTCCTGCATAGACAATTCTGTCAACTTTTTGCCCATCCGCTCATGGATATCCAGGTACTTGGAGACACACCGGTCCAGGCACACAGACTCGCCCTTGGACAGTTCTGCTTCCTTGTAGTGGGGAGGCACGCACTTCCGGTGGCAGGCACTGGTCATTCTAGAAAGAAGGAAGGGCAAGGTCAGGTCAGCAGCCTCCTGTGGCATACCAGGAACCCTCAGCCATTCCTGCCCTGCTATACTGATTTCACCTCCCCGAGAAGGCAGTGTAAATCCTCAGTTTGCACCTCAACTATCTTGGAAGATCCTTGAGAGCAGGAACCATTAGCCATGTTTATGACTAATCAAACAGGAACCATTAGCTGAGTACCAGCTATGTTCCAGACGTCGTGCTCAGTGCTTGACAGGGATTCTGTCATGCAGTTCTTACGATAATCCTAAGAGGTAGGCACAATCATTACCCCCTTTTTACAGATAAGGAAATGAAGGCACAGAGAGCCTCAGGATCACATAAAGCTGGGCTATGAACCCAGGTAGCCTGACTTTACAGCCTACATTTAAAAATTATTCTGCTAAATAGCCTCCAAGATAAAACAACGAATCTAGGGAGGATACCAGAGAGCTTAAGCCAATAAAAATAGCAAATATTTGTTGACTGCTTACTCGACTTGCGTTGGGCTTAACGCTAAGAGCTTGTCATATACTTTTACATTTCATATTGCTAATGTCTCTGTGAGGAAGGTACTATTAACTCCACTTTACAGATGGGGAAAACACTGGTCTAACCGTCCATGTAACTTGCCCAAGGCCATAGTAGTGGTGGTTGGTGCAGCTACGATTTGTTCCCAAATTTGCCAGATGGTTATGGGCACTAGTTAGGAGTCAGACTGAGTTACTGGTTCTGACATTGCTACTGACCAGCTGTGGACCCTGAGAGTTATTTAACCTCTAGAAACCTCAATGTCCTCACCTTTAAAAAAACATAATGCATATAAAATGCTCAGCATGTGTCTGAGATGGATTAAGAGTCTAAGAAATGTTGACTACTAAGCGGACTACGTGCTATTTGCCACAAGGCAAATGCTCTACTCTTCCTGGAACACAACCAGAGCCTAGGCGGGACCTTCTCTTCCTGCTCAGCTCCTATGTCGCCAATTCCATCCCAACCTAAATGCCCAGTTCCTTCTAGTGACCCCACACTGCGTCTGCATTAGCCCTTAAGCATGGGGCGGGAGTTGGGGGTGCTGGGAGGGTAAGCCCGGGCCTCAGGTTTCCCCGGAATGAGGAAAATAATCTTCAGAAGTTATCCACCTCTGCCTTGGCAAGAGTGACCTGGGATCATTCTCTAAGACAAGGCAGCGCAGAATCAGCCCTTACCTGTTGTACATATCAGCCATCATCTCAACCTCCAGCTCTGCCGCCAGCTGCTGGGCCCTAAGCGGGTCCATTTCAGCCCTGCACCGTGGAAGAGATCTCCCTCTGGCCTCCTAATCCTGGGGGCAGACATCATGGTCAGCACCCAGCCCCCCCATTCACCTTCCCATCGCAGAGGCTGGAGGATGTGGAGGAATCAGAGGGCATCAGACCAGCAGGGGCCACTGACCTCAGTGAATTCAAACGTCCCATTTCACAGATGTGGGAACTGAGGCCAAGAAGGGGAACACTGCCTAGCCCAAGGTCACAGAACATGTCAATGGCGGGTCTGGAAATCGAGCCCCAGAGCCCTGACTCCCAATCCCTCTAGGTCACCTCTATCCAGGAGAAGAAGGGGAGACCGGAACGGAGCATGAACCTGCGGGGCCCTAAGAATTCGATCACACGCGGGACTAAGGCGCCCGGGCCCCAGCCCAGGGTCTACACCTCTGAAATGGCGGCGCCATCATCAGGATCACCTTGAGGTCAGACGTCACTCACCACGGCCTGGGGCCTGCCACAACGGCCCCTATGTCCCCAACTTCGGGTAAACACTACAAACTCACCGGGCGCTCAGGTAGGATAGGGCGGACGCACCGGGGTCACTTCCGGGAGGGAAATCCCGCCTCTTCTCTGATCCGTACGCACTTCCGGAATGAAGTACCAACGAGGCGGCGCGGGAAAATCCGCTACCATAGAGAGGGAGCTGCTGGCCGGCCTAAGGCGTCTCCCAAATGCTAGAGAGGACTCCAAAATAACATAGAGGCTTGAGCGGGGCGCAGAGCGCCTGCAGACTGGTTAGAATTCTTGTCTTTAGGGGTGTCACGGAGAGATTTGAGTTTATTGGTTCTGTAAGAGGGGCAGGACCACAGAACTCAGTGAACCTCGTCCTCACCTCCGGAGAGCCGAGGCCAGAGCGCCAATGAGGCGCGGAGTAGGAAGAATGCCGCCAAACTGCAGCTCTCAGTTTGTGATGTACTTAAAGTCACCTGGGACGCTTAAAATAATCCCGAAGCCCAGGGCTCACTTCGTACCAATTAAATCAGAATCCCTGGGAGTAGGACTCAGGCATCAGTACATTTTAAAACTCCCCAGGTGATTCCCATGTGCAGCCAAGTTTGAGGACCAATGCTCAGAGGCCCTTTGTGTGAACACAGCTGTGTGTAGGTCACTAAACTTTCTCTGGGGTTGCAGAGACAAGCGAGGCACGGTTTCTGCTTGCAGAAAGATGAGTCAAGTATACAATATGTTTTAGTCAGCTTCTGTTAGACGCCCTGGCCCCTAAAGAGATGAATAGGGCCACTGTGGCTGCCACCAGAACTGACCTAGTGTGTTTGGGTGAGGAAGACAGAGGGTACTTGTGAACTCTTCATCTTTCAAGACTTAATGTATTCCTCGGGTCTGCACGCCCCCCTCCCGCAACCCCCCCCCCCAAGAAAAACCCACCTCAATCCCTGGATTTTTCAAGGGATTTCCCAGTAAACAAAATTTAGAAGATGCAAATTAATAATGCAGTGGTACACTGCCCATAGGAGAAGGTGGGCTAGACACTTTATATGGCTGGTCACCATATGCTTCCCTAAGGAAGTCCCAATTTTAAATTTCGGCCTCATTACTGCTCTAAGGACTCAAACTTATTTGTCAGACCCTGTGCCTTGATACTTTAAAATTTAGGTATAGCATTCAGATAGTAAAGTAGTAAAGTACACAAGCTTAATTTTTAAATATATATTCATTTTTATAACTGTCTCCCAGATCAAGATACAAAATATTTCCAGCACCTTAAAAAGTTATCTCATGTTCCTTCCCAGTCAATACTCCCTCTTCTGCAGTGAACCACTATTCTGACTTCTATCACCATCAGTTAGTTCTGCCTACTCCTGAACTTCATGTAAATGAAATTATACATTATTTTCTGTTTTGTGCCTCACTTCTTTAGCTCAATGTAGCATCCGTAAGATTTCATCCATATTGTCGTGTGTATCTCTTATTCATTCTTTCTTATGGCTGTCTAGTGTTTGATTGTATATATAAGCCACAGTTCATTTATCTATTCTCCTACTGATGGACTTTTGGGTTGTTTCCAGTTTGGGGCTATTATGATAATGCTGCCACGTATATTATGTTATCCTGGTTTTTACTTTTGAGAATCTAGTCAACATATTATGGAGTATTAAGAAATTGCATGGAAAAAGGAGGTGGGTTCTTAAGAGAGGAATCTGCTTCCTAGATGGGATTTTTGTTAGGTTTTATGAAAGGTTACATACTGTATGATTCCATTTAAATCACATTCTCAAAATGACAATATTATAGAGATGGGAGAAGAGGTTAATGGTTGCCTAGGGTTAGAGTTGGTGGGGGGAGGGAAGGAGGTGTGCCTAAGGGGATAGCACAAGGGAAATCTTTGTGTTGATGAAATTGGTTCTGTGCCCTGATTGTGGGAGAAGGTGTTTATTCAAATCTAAGCTGTCATAGAAGTATACATGCCATTGTACCAATGCCAGTTTCCTGGCTTTGATATTGCATATAGTTATGAAAGATTTAGCCTTCAGTGGATAAATCTTAAGTAAAATTTAACCTTCTGTACCCTCTCTGTACTATTTATGCAACTGCCTATAAACCTATAATTATTTCAAAATAAAGTTTTAAAAATCATTACAAAACAAACGAACAAACAAAAAGATAAAAATGATATCGTATTTAAAGCACCTAGTCCATGACAGATGCTCAATAAAAATGAATCTTTTTGTTTTAGATTTTTATTTATTAGGGAAAATTTTTAAAGTACACGGAAGTGGAGAGCACAATATATTGAACTTCCACATATTAATCACCCATCACCAAGATTTGACAGTTGTCAACATTTAGCCATATTTTCTTCATCTAATTGTACTGCTAACAGATGAAGTCTTTTTTCTACAATGACATTTTTTTCTTTGTTTTTCTTCTTTCTTTTCTTTTTTTTTTCTTTTTTTTTTTTGGCTGCATTGGGTCCTCGCTGCGCGCGGGCTTCCTCTAGTTGTGGTGAGCACGGGCTACTGTTCGTTGCAGTGCGCCGGCTTCTCGTTGTGGTGGCTTCTCTCGTTGTGGAGCACGGGCTCTAGGAGCACAGGCTGCAGTAGCTGCAGCACGTGGGCTCGGTAGTCGTGGTGCACAGGCTTAGTTGCTCCGTGGCATGTGGAATCTTCCCAGACCAGGGCTCGAACCCGTGTCCCCTGCATTGGCAGGCGGATTCTCAACCACTGCACTACCAGGGAAGCCCCCCACAATGCCCTTAAAATTACAGACATCTTATCACTAAATGCAGCTGGCAATCAACAATATTGCACTGTTCAACCATTGGTACCCAAACCTGGCTTTCAGATCATCCCAGGAACAGGCCCCCAAATTCCCGTTCCATATTTCTACTAACTAATTAAATTATTTATTTATTCGCTATCCATTTATCGAGCACTTCATATGACCCAGGCAATTTGCTAGGCCCTGGGCATACAGCCATGAACTTGACAAAGTCCCTGCCCTCATGGAGCTTAGAGTCTAGAGAGAAAGTCAGGTAACAAGGAAATAAATAAGGTAACTTTGGATTCCAATCCATATTCCATAAGAAAATAAAATATGCAGAAGCGATGGAGAGGATCTCAAGGTCATGGGAGACCTCTCTGTGGAAATGAAATTTCAGCTGAGAGCAGGAGAATGAGAAAGAACCAGACTTGCAAAGAGCGGAAGCAGAACGGTCCTGAGTATGGAAAGGAATCGACTCATCGGAGGGATACGAAGGAGGCCAGTGTTGCTGAAGCAGTGGGGAGGGGGAGGGGGAGGGGGAGTCACAAGCCCCTCACACAGTCTCCAAAAGTAGTACCTTTCTTAGATCACAGGACACCTACAGGAGGTAAAGGTGTTTCGTCTTTCTGAGCAAAATCTCGATTCAGCACAAAAATCTGTTGAGAGCCTCCTGTGTACCCGTCGCCTCAGCTCCAAATAGAACTCGGCTTTGTATTTCCTAGACTCTCAGCGCGACCCATCAGCTTGGGCCATCACTCTTCTCTCTCTCCCCAGCCGCTCCCCGTCCAGTGGGAGCCCTGAGAGACATCGCCACCTCCGCAGCTTGCCCCTTCACCCCTCCTTAGCCCACCCTTCCACAGCTGCTTTAGTCTGAGGAAGGGTAAAAGGGACTATTTAAAGGAACGTGGTGGGGGGGATGCAGAGAAGGCCTAGCCTGGGCTCTGGATGGGCAGGGGAGGCCAGACAGCTGGTGACCATGCTCCAAATGGGCCTGCAGGTTGTCTGGGCAGTTGCCAGGGCCAGGCGAGTACGAGTACATCGGGAAGGGAGATGATCGCAGGACGCGTGCTGCCCGGCGTCAGGCGGGAGGCACTGGCTGTGATTGAAAGGTGCCACCTGCCAGATCTCCACGGGAAATCCGAGCCTCCCAGTCCAGGGAAGAGTGTTGTACCAACAGGGCAGTAAACAATGCTTGTCTGTAGCCCCAGGATCTTGCGGGGGTGGGGGGGAGGCGGGGGGGGGGGGCGGGGGGGGGGAGGGGGGAGGGGAAGCGGGGACTGAAGAGCTGGGGGCTAGAAGCCACAGGGGCTTGAAGACAGCCCGGGAGTGCAGCCGCTCAGCTGGAGGAAGGAGACGACTGCAAGCCCCCAGGGAGAGGCCCGACAGGTAGGAGAGACCCTGGGCCCCTTTCAAGGCACCCCCTCCATCTGCCAACTCCTCTCCCATCTTCCAAGGACCTGAGGAGCCTCCAAGCAGGGCCCCACAGTTGGAGAAATCCAGGCTCCTTCCTAAGTCTCTCCATCACTATGTCCACTCTTTTTCAATGCCAGAGTTCGGGGACTCAGCCCTGCGGTGCTGGGCAACTTGAGGTCACCCACCGAGCAGCCTGCAGGTGGCCATCCATGTGGACCTGACGGGCACAGAGGGCCTTGGGAGACTTACCAGTCTTGTGGCTCGCAGGCTTCAGTAGTTGTGGCTCACAGGCTTAGTTGCTCTGCGGCATGTGGGATCTTCCCGGACCAGGACTCGAAACCATGTCCCTGACATTGGCAGGCGGCTTCTTAACCACTGCGCCACCAGAGAAGTCCCCTCACTTACTTTTTATCTAAGTGTGTTGGAACCAAGCAACTTCTCTGCTCAGATGTGGGATGTACTGTATTTGCAGCATGATTAATTCTGTTTAATTCAATTCAGGAAACTTTTTTTTGGGGGGGGGCGGTTCGCGGGCTTCTCAGTGTTGTGGCCTCTCCCGTTGCGGAGCACAGGCTCCGGACGCGCAGGCTCAGCAGCCATGGCTCACGGGCCCAGCCGCTCCGCGGCATGTGGGATCTTCCCGGACCGGGGCACGAACCCGTGTCCCCCGCATCGGCAGGCGGACTCTCAACCACTGTGCCACCAGGGAAGCCCTACTCCCACATTTTGAGGTATAAAAACGACTCATCAGAACTTCCCTGGCGGTCCAGTGGTTAAGACTCCACACTCCCAATGCAGGGGGCACGGGTTCGATTTCGGGTCGGGGAACTAAGATCCCACGTGCTGCACGGCGCAGCCAAAAAAATTTTTAAAATAAATAAATGAAAAGGGCTGGGCTTCCCTGGTGGCGCAGTGGTTGAGAGTCCGCCTGCCGATGCAGGGGACACGGGTTCGTGCCCCGGTCTGGGAAGATCCCACATGCCCCGGAGCAGCTGGGCCCGTGAGCCATGGCCGCTGAGCCTGCGCGTCCGGAGCCTGTGCTCCGCAACGGGAGAGGCCACAACGCTGAGAGGCCCGCGTACCGAAAAAAAAAAAAAAAGGGCTCATCATCTCATTGGTGTTCAGTTCTGTTTGCCTTGTCTTTTACCAACTAAATGCCCTCATGGCTGAGTCAGGACCTTAATCTGGCACAGGGCTGGGCAGAGGCCAGCCTACACCATACAAGCTGATGTATACTGAGTGCTCCTTCCAGGCCAGGCACGCCCCAAAATACTTCCTGTGCATTGGCTTCCTTAACCCTCCACTGTCCCTGTGAGGTGAGACCTATTTTTATCTCCAGAAATCAAAATACAGGGAGGCTAAGTAGCTTGCTCAAGGTCACAGTGGGAGAAGAAGTGGGAGCTGGGATCCCATCATAGGAAGCTCCGGAATCAATGACTTTCACCGCTCCTCCACACCGCCTTCCGAACAAGAGTGCAAGGCAGGGGAGGGTGGTGTGGATCGTTTAGACCGGCCCTTGACATAGTTTCTTCCGCTAAAGGTGGCATCGCTCAAGAGGGCAATAGATGGACCTCAGGGAAAATAAAGCGAAAAGAAAAGGAAGCAAGAAAAAAAAATCCATGGCCACATAAGTTTGGAGAAAAGCGAGTGAAATAGAGCTAAGCAAAATTAAGGTTCCTTTACCATGGGGTGTCTGGAATCTATTTAAGTGCTAATGAAGTTGTAAGACTCTAAAAGGGTCAAGAGTAGCCTGTTTCTGGAACCAAAGAAACACCTCCCCCGCCAACGCAGCCTTTAATAAGGTCTTAGGAGACCCCAGTTTTCCACAGAACACAGTTTGCAAACCTGATCTAGACCAATCCTGTCATTGTATTGGAAACCGAGGCTCTCTCCAGAGAGGCAAAGAGACACGCTCAGGTCTCAGACCAGGAGGTGGGGGTCGAGGCATGCTCCTAGCTCCCTGCAGATGTGCATTCCATCTCCCAGGCTCATTGGTTTCCCTCTAACTTTAATAGATTCCCGGAGCTGCTGAACCATGAAGGGGCTCTGGTGGGAGGGGTGGAATTGGAGGGCAGCATGAGCATCTTTGAAAATCCCAGCCGACTTCCTAGGAAACGGTGGGAGACCAAATCCAGGGACACCAGGACTTCGATCTGGGGGCAGTAAGACCTGAATGGGTGGCAGAAACAGAGCCCTGTCCCTCATATGCCTGTCTTCTTGCCTCTGTCCCAATTACTCAGGTACCCTGGGTACTGTATCCAGAACGATGGCCCTGCAGAGGGCAGGAGGTATTTTTAGCCAGTGACAAGGAGTGTGTACTTCTTTTACTGCCTGAGTCATGCCCTGAACACGTTATTTGGGGATTATTTTCTCTGTAAACAGACCCTCTGCCCCCAAGAAGGGCAGAAGGCTGAAGGAGCTGACCCTGTCCGCGCCACACACCACCCCCCCCCCCGCCAGCTGTTTTTGTTTTTGTTTGCGGTACGCGGGCCTCTCACCGCTGTGGCCTCTCCCGTTGCGGACCATAGGCTCCGGACGCGCAGGCTCAGCAGCCATGGCTCAGGGACCCAGCCGCTCCGCGGCATGTGGGATCTTCCCGGACCGGGGCACGAACCCGTGTCCCCTGCATCGGCAGGCGGACTCTCAACCACTGCACCACCAGGGAAGCGCCCCCCCCCCCCAGCTGTTTTTGTAGATCGGACAGTACAATCATCCCTTGATGTCTGTGGGGGATTAGTCCCAGCTTCCCTTGCGGATATGAAAATCTGCGGTTGCTCAAGTCCCTCATATGAAATGTTGTATTTGCATAGAACCTTACAATCCTCTCTAATACTTTAAATCATCTCTAGATTACTTATAATACCCAGTACAATGAAAATGTCATGTGAACAGTTGTTAATAACAATGTAAATGCTATGTAAATAGTTGAAGTGGCAGCAAACTCAAGTTTGCCTTTTGGAATTTTCTGGAATTTTTTCTTCAAAATTTTTCCATCCAAGGTTGGTTGAATCCACAGAACCCACGGAAAAGGAACACAGTACTTGAATAGGGAACCTCATGATAAAGTTGGAGGATCCGATATCCCTGCAGAGGTTAGTTAGGGAGAGTATCTTCTGTTCTTCACCAAAAGAAACTCTTCCATGCCCAGGCCCAGGCCCAGCTCTTCAGAGAACCACACACACAGGCGGGCAGTGCTGGCAGAGACCCAGCGACCAAGCTGGCCCAGGGTTTCCCAAATTTCAGGCATTTTAACACCACCTCCATGATTTCGGTGTTTTGTATCCTGTATTCCGCTTTCCTGAACGTCTTCCTTTGAATTAACTTACTTTACTTCAATAAATGTATTCATAAAATAAACTTTATATCACTATTGGAAATGGAAACTCGATATCACTGGCCAGAAACAGAAAGTAACTGTAAAAATAAATACAATTGAATCAAAACAGTATTATTAGGGACTTCCCTGGTGGTCCATTGGGTAAGACTCCGAGCTTCCAAGGCAGGGGGCCTGGGTTCGATCCCTGGTCAGGGAACTAGATCCTGCATGCATGCCGCAACTAAAAGATCCCATATGCCTCAACGAAGACCCGGTGCAGCCAAAATAAATAAATAAATACTCAAAACAAAACAAAAAACAGTATTATTAAGTTCTATCTAGAGACTTCTGTCTGCTTCGGGCTCTGAGCATGAGGGCAGCTATCTCCATCAAAAGGGGAGAATAGGGGCTTCCCTGGTGGCGCAGTGGTTGAGAGTCTGCCTGCCGATGCAGGGGACACGAGTTCGTGCCCCGGTCCGGGAAGATCCCACATGCCGCAGAGCGGCTGGGCCCGTGAGCCATGGCCGCTGAGCCTGCGCGTCCGGAGCCTATGGTCCGCAACGGGAGAGGCCACATCAGTGAGAGGCCCGCGTACCGCAAAAAAAAAAAAAAAGGGGAGAATAGCAAGTGCTCCATGGGGGTCTAGGAGGCTAGTCAGACTATAAACACCTCACTGGCTTATTCAAAAAGAGGCCAAATCATTGACAAGGCATCACAGAACCCAGTGTTCCTTAAAGCCCAAGTCACAACCTGCAGAGGGCCTTTAGGTGGACGTCACCCAACATCAGGTAAACGTGGCTGGCCCAGCACCCCATTGTGGGAGATGTGGTGCTCTACCGGTTCATTTAGCCAAAGGGAAAGTGGATACTTGTGTCACATGTCCGAGCAGTGGGGGACCCAGGACTGAATCGCACGTCTCCAGACTCCAGGACCTTCACCGGCAGAAAGGGGGCATGACCAGGCCTGCTTGTCTTCTCTTTTCAGAGATGGAGCAGAAGGAGGGGAAGCCCTCTGAGGACGGGACCCCTGTGTCCCCAACCACAGAGGTCCCGGAGACAGTGGGAGGGGGAGCCTCTGCTGAGGAGGAGGCCACAGGCCCAGCTGAAAGGACCATCACAGAGGGGCCTCCAGATGGGGCAGGAAAGCAGGAGAGGGCACCAGCTGAGGAATCCAAAGGGGAGGCTGAACTTCAAAAGGAGGACAGCGGGAAGAAAGAGACCACCGTGGCTCCTCAGGAGATGGCTGATTGGAAAGAAGAGACCAACTCTGAACCCAAGGAGGCTGAGGGAAAAGAGGAGATCACGTTGGCCTCTGAGAAGCAGCAGGCTGATGAGAAAGAGGCCAAGCCTGGATCTAGGGAGAAAGCCAATGTGAATGATGAGGTGCAGGCTGCTGGGAATGAGGAGGCCAAGGCTGGAGACAGGGAGGCTGCTGGGAAGGAGGAGGCCAAGGTTGGAGGCAGGGAGGCCAAAGGGAAGGAGGAGGCCAAGGCTGGAGACAGGGAGGCTGCTGGGAAGGAGGAGGCCAAGGCTGGAGACAGGGAGGCTGCTGGGAAGCAGCAGGCCACAGTGGCCTCTCAGGAGGTGAGCAACAAGACGGAGGAGCCCAAGGCTGAAACCCAAGAGAAAGCCAGTGCCCCAGAGGCCAAGTCGGACTCTCAGAAGGCTGCCGTGGAAGATGAGGCCAAGCCTGAACCACAGGAGGAGGAGGTGAAGGAGGAGGTGGTGAGTGAGGAAGAGGAGAGGAGAGGAGGGAGGCGGCCCCATGATTCTCCGGAGCCCCCTGCCCCGCCCTCCCCCAAGCAAGCCCCTCCCCTGCTTTATTCCTTTGGGACAATCCAGTCTTCCACCCACTGACATCAAGAGCCTGGGGTGGGGGATGCAGCACTGTGGCTCCAGGCTGCCTTCCAGATCTTTCTGAAGCCCTCACAGAGCCTCAGGCAGGTGCGGGCCCACACAGCCCATGTTCATTCCAGGAGCCAGGCTGTCCTGATGAAGAGCAGGACCAGGGCGCGGAGAAAGGGGCAGAGGAAAGGGCAGAAGCGCTTCCCCGGTCCGCCGAGGAATGGCCCGAGAGCCCCACGGAGGAGGGCAGCGGCCTCAGCCCAGGTGAGTGAGAGCCCAGGAGCCCGCGGACGCCGCAGGGGCCTCCCTGAGGGAGCACGCGGGCCGCGCACCACGGGTCACCCCAGCCTGCCTCCCTCCCGTTCCTTTCCCCTAGATGGGCTGAGTCCAGACACCGCAGCTTCCGGAGAGACCAGTCCTTCAGCCAGGTAATGTCAGACTCTGGAGCCCCAGCTCCAGCCCCTGCTACTGCTGGCTTCCTTTTTTTTTTTTTTTTTGCGGTACGCGGGTCTCTCACTGTTGTGGCCTCTCCCGTTGCGGAGCACAGGCTCCAGACGCGCAGGCTCAGCGGCCATGGCTCACGGGCCCAGCCGCTCCGCGGCATGTGGGATCTTCCCGGACCGGGGCATTCCCGGACCGGGGCACGAACCCGTGTCCCCTGCATCGGCAGGCGGACTCTCAACCACTGCGCCACCGGGGAAGCCCCCGCTTGCTTCCTTTAAAGGCTGCCATCCCCTGGGCCTGGGCCTCCCCAGTGCTGGTCTCAAGATATGCCAGGAATTATGGTTTTCAGCCCTCTAGCCCAGGGCAGAGCCCAGGAGACAAAAGGAGCCGGAGTGTGGGAGCAAAGGGGCCGTGGAGCACACCTGGTCCGTCTCTCACTCACTGCTGAAGCCTCCTGGTCTTGCTTGCCTCCGCGGTGTCAGCCTCACCCATAAGCGAATGAGCAGAAAGCCTGAGTTTGGACAATGACACTGCCACTTACCAGCTGTGTGACCTTGGCCGCATCACTGCCCCTTTCCTCCCCTGTGAAGTGGGCACAGTCACGGTACCTACCTCGTAGGACTTCTGTGAGGCTCAAACGACATCTGTGTATAAAGCCCTCAGCCCAGCGCCTGGTGCCTGGCTGGTGCTGGATAACACGATAGCCTTACTCTCACCAGGGCACAACTTTCGTCATTAAAGAGTCTTCCTTTATTTCGAGCTGAAGCTCACCTCCGCGTCACCTTCTTAGGGAAAAGTACCCGATTGAACGTTCGTGGAGCGTGGGCTACATTCCCCCTCCCACGCAGGCCTTAGAACCACCCTGTCAGGTAGCTATTCTTGCCCCATTTTACAGATGAGGGAGCTGAGGCTCAGAGGAGTGACACGACAGTCCCAAGATCACACAGCAACTAAGAGGCAAAGGCAGGATCCAGCCCCAGGTCAGACCTCAGATGTGCTCTAGCTCTGTCCACACATGCCACCAGACCACGTGCTCACCAAAGTGAGACTGAGCGTCACTATTTCTTCCCAGCCCCTCCCGGTGCTGGGCCCAGAGGAACCGTGTGCGAGAGTGGGGACCACAGCTTCGTATGCCTCTTGAGACTGCAGGGGCTGCGCTCAGCCAGCCTCCTCCCTCCTCAGTGGCTGGTCCCAGCCCCTCTCACCCTTCTCCGAACTTTTCCATGCAGTGAATCTTCACCCAGCGACGTGTCCCAGAGCCCCACGGAGCCCCCTCCCTCACAGGAGAAGAAGAAAGACAAGGCGCCAGAGCGCAGGGTGTCAGCCCCTGCCCGGCCCCGGGGGCCCCGTGCCCAGAACCGCAAAGCCATCGTAGACAAGTTTGGGGGGTAAGATGCGGGCGAGGAGCGGTGGGGGCTGGGTTGGTTGGACAGTCGGTGGGGGGGAGTCCTGAGGGGCAATAGGAACAGCCCGAGCCCCAGCAGGAAGACTGACATCTGGGGCTGGGGCTCCTCCCTGATGGGACCCTCCCACCTCTCTGGCCTGACCTTCTCTGTCCCTCGCGCACAGGGCAGCCTCGGGCCCCACGGCCCTGTTCCGGAACACCAAGGCCGCGGGGGCAGCCATCGGCGGCGTTAAGAACATGCTCTTGGAGTGGTGTCGGGCCATGACGAGGAGCTACGAGGTGCATGGTGGGCAAGGGACCCTTCCCCAGGGCGGCAGTGCAAAGCCCAGAGGGGGGGAGGTCCGGAGGGGGCAAAGTCCGGGTCCTCTGGCTGAGGCTCACCGAGGCCTCTGGGCCCCGCTTGCCCGCAGCATGTGGACATCCAGAACTTCTCCTCAAGCTGGAGCAGTGGCATGGCCTTCTGCGCCCTCGTCCACAAGTTCTTCCCCGATGCCTTTGACTATGCTGCGCTGGACCCCGCCAAGCGCCGGCACAACTTCTCCCTGGCCTTCTCCACAGCCGAGTAAGCCATGCCAGGGGATGCAGAGGCGGGTGGGAGCTCGGCTCACCTACACAGAATCGAGGGCCGGATTCACAGGGGTCGGGTAGTGCGGTGGTCAGGTAGAGGCTGTCACCACACATTCATGAATTCAACAGATATTTCTTTACGGTTTATTTATTTATTTTTGGCTGCATCGGGTCTTAGTTGCGGCATGCGGGATCTTCACTGAGGTATGCGGGATCTTTTGTTGCAGCGCGCGGGCTTCTCTCTAGTTGTGCATGCAGGTTTTCTCTTCTCTAGTTGTGGCGTGTGGGCTCTGTAGTTGTGGCGCGCGGGTTCCAGAGCAGGCGGGCTCGGTAGTTTGTGGCACGTGGGCTCTCTAGCTGAGGCGCGCGAGCTCAGTAGTTGTGGCGCGTGGGCTTAGTTGCCCCACGGCCTGTGGGATCTTAGTTCCCTGACCAGGGATCGAACCTGCGTCCCCTGCTTTGGAAGGCAGACTCTTTACCACTGAACCACCAGGGAAGTCCCCAACAGATATTTTTTGATTGCTGGGAACTGTTTTAGGACATAGCAGTGAGTGGAACTTACAAAATCCCTGCGTGCCTATGACACATTCTAAAGGGAGAGACAGATCATAAACACACACACGTGTGAAATATGATGTAAGGGAACAGGTGCCGTGAAGAAAATGCAGGCAGGGTAAGGGGTAGGGGAGGGGCAGGCAGGGTGGTTGCTGGGATTTAGGGCCAGATTCTGACTCTGCCATTTGTTAGCTGTGTGATCTTGGACAGGCTCCTTCACCTCTCTGAGCCTCCATATTCTAACCTTTAAAATGGGCATGACATTTCCTCTTTGGCAGGGCTATGGTGAGAATTAAGTAAGTAATTAAGTAAAGTCCCTATAAACAGTGCCTAACCCATGGCAAACACTTCAAAAAAAAAAAATCTTAGCTCCTATGTTATAATGAATGATATCACAGTTGTTATGATAATTATTATTCAGTGTGGGACCTGGAGGGCATTTATTGCTGGGGTTCACACAGCTGGGTGCCGGGGTGGTGGAGGGATGGAGACAGGGGTGGACTAGACAGGCAGGAGGGGTGTGAGGATCAGTGTGGCCCAAGGAAGAACCTAAGAGACCAGGACATGGCTGCCAGGTGGCGGGGGAGGAGGGGGCACTCCCCCCACCAAAGCACCAAAACCGGACTCAGCCAAAGGCCTCCATCTCCACGCACCGGAGAGACATGACCTGATGGCCTTGGGGCTCCCAAGGAGCTCATGCCTGGAGCGCCAGTCCTTTCCCACCTGGGAGGGGCTTCTGAGCCGCCTGGTAGAGATAGGACTATGCATAGGGAGTGGTCCACGAGGACAGCTCTGAGACCGGGAATGCATTTCCCGCTGAGTGCGTTTCTAAAGCCCGGGGGCAGGGAATAAGTCACTGGGGATGTTAGCAGCACCTTGGTCCAGGAGGCTGAGCCCTTTGGTCTAGTCCAGGCCTGGCCGCCAGCCTGCAGGGAAGCCTGGGCAGCAACCTTCCCCTTTCGGGGCCTGCGTGTCCCCATCGGCAAGACGAGATGGACGAGATGGCCGGTATTGATCTGTGCTTTTCAGATGCTTTTTCCCCCTGACAGATTCCTCAAGCAAAATATTAAATGAATGCCCAACATATTAGACAGATTTTAGGGAGGCCTTTTGAGGTTGGGAGGGGTTCTTGGAGCACTCCAGCTCTGCTTCCCAAGATGGTCCCTGAAGCATGTCTATAGGGCCCTAGGGCACCAGGGATGCCGTTTGAAATCCACCAGACTTGGTGCTACAGAAGATCCCTTCCAGTTGGTCCCGCCAAGGGGTGGGGGGAGTGCCCTGGGGTGGGGGGTTGAGGGCATCCGGAGCACCATGTCCTGCTCTGGGCTCAGAAGCACCTTTTTTTTTTTGGCGGTACGCGGGCCTCTCACTGTTGTGACCTCTCTCGCTGCGGAGCACAGGCTCCGGGCGTGCAGGCTCAGCGGCCATGGCTCACGGGCCTGGCCACTCCGCGGCATGTGGGATCTTCCCGGACCAGGGCACGAACCCGTGTCCCCTGCATCGGCAGGCGGACTCTCAACCACTGTGCCACTGGGGAAGCCCCAGAAGCACCTTTAATGGTGATGAACCAGGATTGGAAAGTGAAACTCCTAGTCGGGGCAGAGCTCTTGGTGAACATCAGAAGGCCACGTGGCTTGGCCCTGACCAGGTGTCCCCGGCCTGTGGGGCGGGGTCGTGGTCCTCCCGCAGCTGCCTTGCCTTGGCTGCCAGCCTGCAGAGCCACAGAAAGGCAGAAGGAATAATCAGGTGATGGTGACGGGCTGAGAGGAGGCATCAGGCAGCAGGGAAAAGGGAAGGATGTGCAGGGGATGCATGGGGATGGAGGCTGGAGGGAGAAGAGGTGGGGGGGTGCCTCCTTCTTCCTAGCTCTTCTTTTTTTTTTTGGCTACGCCATGAGGCATGCGGGATCTTAGTTTCCTGACCAGTGATGACCAGAGATCGAACCCGTGCCCCCTGCAGCGGAAGCTCAGAGTCCCAACCACTGCACCTCCAAGGAAGTCCCCCTTCCTAGCTCTTTGACCTCGGCAGCGGACTTAACCTCTTTTAGGGCCTGGGGTGCAGATGAAGCGTGCAAAGTAAGGGGCTCCCTGCCGCAGCTGGCTCCCTTCTAGAAGTTGCCTCTGATTCCCACGGAACAGTCAACGCTGGGGCCCCCAGGCGGCTTGGTCGGCTGTGCTGCTCGAGGAGCCCGACCCCGTTCCCCAGGCCCAGTGGGAGTGAAGCTTTTGCCTCTCCTGCATGGGAACAGCACCCCGACCCACATCCAGGAGCCAAGATCACTGCATCGGTTGCAGGGAGCTTGTCCCCTTCTTCGAAATCCTCCAGTCTGTGCTCCTGCCTCCCGCTCCCAGGCCAGCCCGGCTTGGGTTTCAGTCCAGCTGCCTCAGCTCTAAGAGAGGATTTCCGCTGGGACCCTGGTTTCTCCTACACCAGCACCCATGGCGGTTTGGCAGGCTGGGACTGCTGAGACCTGGCTACAGGGCAGGGATGCCAGAGGCATCAGGCAGGCCTGCGGTAGAGTCCCAGCTGTGTCCCTCACTTTGACGTTGGGCAAATCACCAAAATGCTCCGAGTCTCCAGCTCCTCTTCTGCTGGTTGAACACAGAGGAGTGGAGTAAATGAGACCATTCAAGGGAAAGCACTGGGGAGTTCCCTGGTGGCCTAGTGGTTAGGATTCCAGGCTTTCACTGCCGTGGCCTGGGCTCAATCCCCAGTTGGGGAACTGAGATCCTGTAAGCTGTGTGGCGCAACCAGAAAAAAAAGGGGGGAAGGGAAGCACTTGATAAAACTCCTGGCACATGGTGGCAAGGTCCCAACAGCGGTTAGATCAGAAGATCGGCTTTAGCAAAGCCAGGAGTAGCACGTGGCCCCAAAGAGCAGCTGGGAAGTTAGAAAAAGAGGACTTGCTGCTAAGTTCTATGCGGTCGCTCAAACACATTAAGCACTCCTGCCTCAGGACCTTTGCCCATGCTGTTTCCTTTGCCTGGAATCCTCTTCCCGCAGATATGTACTCTCTTTTTAAATTTTGTTTAATAAATTTGTTTTATTTATTTATTTTTGGCTGTGTTGGGTCTCCGTTGCTGTGCACGGGCTTTGTCTAGTTGTGGCGAGCGGGGGCTACTCCTTGCTGTGGTGCACGGGCCTCTCACTGCGGTGGCTTCTCTTGTTGCGGAGCACGGGCTCTAGGTGCGTGGGCTTCAGTAGTTGTGGTGCACGGGCTTAGTTGCTCCGCGGCACATGGGATCTTAGTTCCACGACCAGGGATGGAATCTGTGCCCCCTGCACTGGAAGTGCAGAGTCTTAACCACTGGACCACCAGGGATGGCCCCAATTTACACTCTTTAAGAGAACTTTCCTGGGCTCCCTATTAAAATTCTCCTTGGAGAATTCCCTGGCGGTCCAGTGGTTAGGACTCCGTATTTTCACCGCCAAGGACCCAGGTTCAATCCCTGGTCGGGGAACTAAAACCCCACAAGCTGCGAGGCGCTGGCGCAAAATAAATAAATAAATAGATGCAAAATAAAAAAATAAAGCCATTACTAACATAATATTTTTTTTAAAGATCCCCTTGAACATAGAAACATACCCTGTCCCCCTTCCCTGCCTTATTTTTCTCCACAGCACCTCTCATCATCTCATGTATCATCGATTTCTGTTTGATTACTGTCTACTGCAGTGAGAATGTCAGTGACATGAGAGTGGGGAATTTTTATTTTGTTCAGTGCTGAATTCCCTGGAAAAGTACCTAGCACATAGTACCCCTCAATACATACATGGAAACTGGTTGAAGCTGGAGTTGTTGCAGCTACAAGGCAACACTCTGGCTAGTGTTGGTGTTCTGTCTTTTAAACTCTCCCTGAGGACAGGTATATGAGCACGTGGGAGGGGTGGGCTAATGCAGAACTATAGACCAGAAGGTCCCGCTCCTACGTGAAGACACACAGTGCAATGAAAACAGGGGCTTAGGAATCAGACCCCGCTGAGTTTGAGTCTTGACTCTGTTGGGCCTCAGTTATCTAATCTGTACAATGGGATGCTTGCCCTAGATGACCTCCCAGCTCTGCCACACACAGTTCTGTGGGTTTCATCCTCGCCGGGCTGTCCCCTTAGGCCCCGCATCCTTCACCGTTGGCTCTCTGCTCCACCCCTCCTCACCCCTCCCCAACCTGCCCCTCAGGAAACTGGCCGACTGTGCCCAGCTGCTGGAAGTGGATGATATGGTGCGGCTGGCAGTGCCCGACTCCAAGTGCGTCTACACCTACATCCAGGAGCTGTACCGCAGCCTCGTGCAGAAGGGACTGGTGAAGACCAAGAAGAAATGAGGGGCTGACCAACCCTGTGGGCAGAGGCGGGCAGGGAGCCCAGCTGACCAGCCGTGGCCCAGAGGCTCACTCCTGCTCATGGTGGCAGCAGTGCTGGGGCTCAGACAAGGGCAGATGGTACCAGTCTTAACTACATGAAAAGTTCTTTTGTAAAATCCGGTCTAGCCCCTTAGTGCTCCCTCCCTAACCCAGCAGGAACATCTCTCACTTGGATAATAAAACCGGGCCGCCAGGGTTCCTCATCTGACATGATTTTCTCAACAACCATGAAAGGCATTTGGGAAAGGAGAGTGGGCTGGGTCCTACCACTAACCAGCTGTGTGTCCCTGGGCCAGTGAGTGAACCTCTCTGAGCTTCAGTTTACCGTCTGCATGGGGATGATAGGAGCTCAAAATCATGCGGGTGCTGTGAGCGTTAAATGAGATCATGAAAAGGACAAACAGCCTTGCCCAGGGCCTGTCACGTAAGTGTTCTTTAAGTGGTGGCCCAAAGTAACAACACATCTTACATTTCCAGCCATGGGTGGCACCTTCCCAATTCTCTTCCCTTTTTCCACACTTCTCCCAGATTAGGGAATTCCAGGGCAGGGACTAGAGTAGAAGATTCTCTACAAATCTCACCCCAACTGGGCTAGTGGGGCCTGGAGTGATTCCCCTGACTCAAAGATACCCCATATTCTGTCTCTTAAAAGCCAGTGGTCTTCTAGGAGCTTAGAACCACTGCACCCAGAAAGCTCCTCCTTTGTGCTAAGTTAATCCCTCCAACCCTGGCCAGAGTTTTGGCTTGTTTTTGTCTCTCTGCGGCTCACTAGAGATGAACCCTGGAGCTGAGTATAACTTCCCGCTAACAATCTTGTCTGGCTTTATCAGCCATTTGGAGCATGTGCGCTGATGAGAACAGTTCATGAAAAACACAAAAACAAAACCCAACCAGCCTGGCACTGCAGCTGGAGGGGTGGCCTCTGCCCTGATCAGCAGAGTGGACCTGGCAACCCACTGAAGCGCTCTGTGCCTTGGTTGCCTCCTCTATAAAAATGGGGACGTTATCCTTGTGGACGTGTCGACGACCGCTCAGGCCAAGGGTGGTCTAGTCCTCATGGCCAGCGAGCCCTCAGCTGATGGAGAGCAGGGTCACACCTTTAGCTAGGCTGCAGCTAAATCCCCAGCCTCCTCTTCTCCCGATTAACCACCCGTCCCCTCAGTGAACACTCAGTTGGACTCCACGGTCCATCTGTGGCTTTAATAGCTGGGCAAACACATGGTCTCCGTGGCTCCCGTGGACTGGAAGCTGGAGGGGAAACACCTCCCCACCTAAAGGCTGGTCCCTAGGAACCAGCAACCTAATGGGATAGCAAGTGGTTTAAAAACCGTGGAGTCAGGGGACCTCCCCAGCGGTCCAGTGGTTAAGACCCCGCGCTTCCACTGCAGGGGGTGTGGGTGTGATCCCTGGTTGTGTGGCCAAAAAAAAAATTAAAAGGAAAAAAACAACAACAAAAAAAACCCATGTAGTCAGATTTCTGGGACGGAGATTAGTTTCTTCACTTTATGATTCATCCGTGGAAGAGAAAAGGTTTTGCATCTATACATGTCTATCAGCGGTCTGGCTGTTTTCCATCACTCAATCAACAAAACACTCAACCGTAAGTAGGAGTCCCTCATCCCTGTGCCCTGCCTCCCTCCCATACTCCCCCCTGCCCCTCTGCCCTCCCCGCACCCCCCATGCCTGGGCCCTCAGCGGATTCTGGTTGGCTGCTGGGCTCATTTCCTGCGAGCCGGTCTGCAAGGCAGCCTGAGTCTCTAAGGATCGGGCTTCCCACATCACAGAGCGCTGGAGAGCTGGCCTGCGACCCTGCAAACCTAAATGCCCCTGGCTCTGGGGCAGAGAAAGGAAGTGGGGAAAGCACACCTGAGGCCAGCGGATCCCCGTACCACACACATAACTGCGGCCCCACCACCACCACACACACATACGCACACGCACACACGCACACGCGCACACACACACACAAATGACTAACAATCTAAGAAGGAAAACTTGGAAGAAATGAGCAGGAAATGGACCACAAAGGGGCTCTGGCCCCTAGCCCATGACATGGGTCCGTCCATCACACAGAAAGCATCCAGTGCAGAGATGGGCCAGAGGCAGAGTTAGGAGGGTCGGTCCACTCCAAACTGGAGGGTGAACTCTTCGGCCCTCTTGTTGAATAGCTCCGGGTCCTGTGTCAGCTGGTCGGCAAGCTCCAAGCGAAGGGGCTCTCCCAGCTCTGGTTTATTCACCAGCATGTTGAGGGCCTCCAAAACTGAGGAGAGAGGTCAGATCAGGACATCAGGATGGAAGGAAAAAAATCCTGGGAAGGAAGTGATGGCTGCCCACTCCCAGATCCCCCGAAACGTCACACCCACTCCTTGGGAGAGCCCCCCAGGAGGTTCCATGTCTTAGGATGACGCTACAACCAAATGAAATGCCTCTTACCACATTCACTGATGAGGCCCAAAGCCATAGCCAGTTACATCAGTGCTTTTCAAACTATGTTTCACGGTGTCACAGAAGCTACCCATCATGGGGGTTGGTGAGATAAACAGGGTTTCTGGGTTCTATTCCCTTTTCGAGAAGAAACACTTTGCTTTTCTCTGTTGTGTTATTAGGATTCTAAAACAACTTTTATTTGGGAAAAAGGATTCTGAGGCTTAAGACTGGAAACCACTGCTGCCCCGTGGCTGGAAATCTTTCACGGGCGACTTTGGAATCCTGGTGAAGGCAGTGGCCCATCTCCCCAGGCACGTGCACATACGCATACACACAGATGTGTGGTTCTGGGTCCAGAGCACTTCACTGACCTCCTGAAGCGCATCCAAGGACCAGTCCTCCCCATCCCCGCCCCCAGGATTCTTGTTTCCAGGGTTAAGAACTCCCGAGCTGGTCCAGAGGCAGGATTGATCGCACACTGATTACGTCCATAGGCTCTAGAGCCATAGTGCGCACTATGGTAGCCACCAGCCACAGGGAGTTATCTCAATTTAAATTAATGGAAATTCACTACAATTAGGAATGCAGTTCATAGTCACATCAGCCACATTTCAAGTGCTCGAAAGCTACACGTGGCTAGTGACCATGGCATTGGACAGGGCAGCTACAGAAGGATTCCATCACCGCAGAAAGTTCTGCTGGACGGTGCTGTTCCAGAGGCACCCAAGCAGGCTCCGAATCCCAGCTCTGCCACCTGCCAGCTCAGGCAAGTGCTTCTCCTCTCATATGCCTCGGTGTCCTAACTATTAAATGGAGCTAATGAGAGCACTGTTTCAGGGGGCTTCTGAGGGGATTAAATGAAGTTGGTGGGTTAAAAATGGCTGGTGTCCCTGAGTTAGAAAGTTCAAGTTCTCAGTGGTGCAGGGACATGTCTCAGACCAGGTCCTCAATGGCTACCCAACTCCATCTTTGTATGCCTGAACTATGTTTACTCCATTATAATTTCAATTTGTCATCAATGGATAGATACCAAAAACGTAATATGGAATAAAAAAGTGAATTTTTATACTGGAGAGGGTGTGGAGAAAAGGGAACCCTCCTACACGGTTGGCGGGGAATGTAAATTGGTGCAGCCACTATGGAGAACAGTAGGGAGGTTCTTTAAAAACTAAAAATAGAGTTACCATATGGTCCTGCAATCCTACTCCTGGGCATATATCCAGAGAAAACTCTAATTCAAAAAGATACATGCACCCCAATGTTCCAAGCAGCACTATTTACAATAGTCATGGAAGCAGTCTGAATGTCCATCGACATATGAATGGTTAAAGAAGATGGGGTACATATATACAATGAAATATTACTCAGCCATAAAAAAGAATGAAACAATGTCATTTTCAGCAACATGGATGGATCTGGAGATTATCGTACTGAGTAATGTAAGTCAAACAGAGAAAGACAAATATAGGATATCACTTGTATGTGGAATCTAAAATACGATACAAATGAACTTATTTACAAAACAGAGACAGACTTAGGGACATAGAAAACAAACTTATGGTTACCATGGGGAAAAGGGGGGCAGGAGGGATAAATTAGGAGTTTGGGATTAACGTATACACATTACTATATATAAAACAGATAGGGCTTCCCTGGTGGCGCAGTGGTTGAGAGTCCGCCTGCTGATGCAGGGGACGTGGGTTCGTGCCCCGGTGTGGGAGGATTCCACATGCCGCGGAGCGGCTGGGCCTGTGAGCCATGGCTGCTGAGCCTGCGCGTCCGGAGCCTGTGCCCCTCAGCGGGAGAGGCCACGACAGTGAGGGGCCCACGTACCACAAAAAAAAAAACAAACAAACATATAAACAGCTAGGTCCTACTGTATAGCACAGGGAACTATATTCAATATCTTGTAATAAACTATAATGGAAAAGAATATGAAAAAGAATATATGTACATAAGTATAACTGAACACATGTGCATAAGTATAACTAACACAACATTGCAAATCAACTATACTTCAAATAAAAAAGTGAACTTTGGGGACTTCCCTGGTGGTCCAGTGACAAAGAATCCACCTTACAATGCAGGGGATGCAAGTTCGATCCCTGGTCAGGGAACTAAGATCCCACATGCCACGGGGCAACTAAGCCTGCGGCCACAACTACTGAGCTTGCAAGCCTCAACTAGAGAGCCTGTGTCCGCAAACTACACAGCCCACGCGCTCTGGAACCCACGTGCCACAACTAGAGAAGAGAAAACCCACACGCCATAACTAGAGAGGAGCCCACGCACCACAATGAAGAGCCCGCGCACCGCAAGGAAAGATCCCGTGTGCCGCAACAAAGATCCCACAAGCGGCAACTAAGAGCCGATGCAGCCAAAAATAAATTAAATGAATAATAAATAAATCTTAAAAAGAAAAAAAGTGGGGCTTCCCTGGTGGTGCAGTGATTAAGAATCGGCCTGCCAATGCAGGGGACACGGATTCCATCCCTGGTCCGGGAAGACCCCACATGCCGCAGAGCAACTAAGCCCGTGCACCACAACTACTGAGCCTGCGCTCTAGAGCCCGCGAGCCACAACTACTGGAACCCACATGCCACAACTACTGAAGCGCGCGTGCCTAGAGCCCGTGCTCTGCCACAAGAGAAGCCACTGCAATGAGAAGTCCGTGCACCACAATGAAGAGTAGCCCCCGCTTGCCGCAACTAGAGAAAGCCCACGTGCAGCAACGAAGACCCAACGCAGCCAAAAATAAATAAATAAATTTGTTTTA